CGGGTTGAAAAATCCGAAGGTATTATCTCGACTTATGCCTGGGATTGAACCCTGGACCTTCAGGTTAGCGAGCAAGCGTCTAACTCACTGTGCCATTTCGGCTCCGCTGTGCATCTGAAGGACGTCGGACAGGAATTATTGTGAGCTACAAGTAGGATGATCTCCTATTGGTTGCAAACTAAAGATTGACATGTCCACAGCCAATCTCATTGGTTTACATATTAAAGAAGGCTGGCTACATGCATATTACTAAGACACGTGCCTACAAGTGATAAATGATATCCAATCACTACTTGATAATCTTCCTCTGATTATCTTAAATAGGTAATCTCCCTTCTTAAGACACGTTCAATGATAATTAATCATCGTTCTATAGTATTTCACTGATCACATCTGATTGATGTAACCGGGTTAGCTCAGGGGGATAAACGATATCAAAACTATCAGAATATCAGTTGGTAACTTTAATAAAAACCCTGTAATGATAATATGATACAATTAGATATATAATACAACAATATAATATCTTAATAACAAAATATCACAGAAGTATCATTATCACAGACAAATATCTATACACATAACTTTATACACTACAATACTATTTCAATACATTTGAAATACTATATATGCTATAACAAGAACATTAGTACATTATTAGGTCAATGTAAAGTAATTGTGTGCTTATTAAAACAGTAGTGGTGCATTAAGATAAGACAACAATTAAATAAAACAACCAAGTTTTTTCTATAAATGCACCCTTCCTACACATGCATAATACTAAAACATGTACCTACAAGTGTAATCCCTAGCTTCAATGCAATAAGTAAATCCCCACTCCCCCCTAAAATGTCATTGGTTACAAACTAAAGAAGTCTGGCTACATGCATAATACTAAGACACGTGCCTACAAGTGATAGATGATATCCAATCACTACTTGATAATCTTCCTCTGATTATCTTAAATAGGTAATCTCCCTTCTTAAGACACGTTCAATGATAAGTAATCATGATTGAGAGTAAACCAGGTTCTCTATATACACTTGAGGCAGACGTGGATACCAGAGGAAAAAGAAATAAAAACGCAGCCGTATTGCATTACATACGTCTGCATGAAGTCCCAGAAACCGAATTGTACCACTGCACAAGCATAGATCCTAGACCGGATTAGTTGGAAAGTCCAATTCTCTGTACTGATATTAACCCTTCAGACCCAATCAAGGCTAACTGCATACACTTGCATAGGCCCGATTCGACTCCGATCGAACTGACTCATAGCCAAACACACAGGGCATGCAGCCAGGGCATTTTAGACTCATATGCAATACATACGTCTGCATGAAGTCCCCACAAACCGAAATGCCAATCTTAAGTTTGCAACCA